ACGGAAGGTGATATTTTTTTAAGGGAAAAAGTATAACGATAAATATAATATATAACATGATATTGTGATATTATATATTTATTAAAGAAATTTATTATTTTTTAATATTTCGTGTTCTTAATCATTTATGAATATACCTTTTTTAAGAGGGATTGTTCAAACTTACTTGAATTAGTTTACTTTATTCGAAGTAAATTATGTCTACTCTTAAAATATATAAAGAATACACAAAAAAATATAAAAAAAATTCATACAAATATTCGTTATGGATTTAATCTCTCGAGGGTTGAATTTTAAATGGATTTTTTTTTGCCCCAATCGAATACACACAAACCAAAGTAATTTTATCAGACAAATATCCTGTTTCACTTTAATGTGGCATATTTTTTAATTCTAAAAGATTGTGATCGCAAGTAATGGTAATTTTTATATAAAAGCAAACGTGCACATATGTATGTGTCAATGTCCCTCAAGTGGCTAAGAAACAAACAAAACTCCAAAAGAACGCTCAAGAATAGAATACTCTCACTTAAAGTAGAATAAAAGATCCTGGAAACATGACTGGCTTAAATTGTGCAATCAAATGTTTTCTCCCCAAGTGGCTCCATTAACGACAAAAGAAAAGTGTAGGAAGATCCACGAATCAGTGAGACACTCGAAAGACAACTATCGACAACTACCAGACGATATTCAACTTGGATTCGCGCAATCGTGAACTAGGAAGCAACGTGAACAACCGATAGGGGGATGGACGAGTGGCGGTCGAATGGAAAACTGAATATTATCCCGATGAGCCGTGATAGGCGGGACACTTTTCACTTCTGGAAATACCGCAGACATCATCCTCGCGTCGGGGGGCTCGTGGTAACGAACCATCGAGAGCAGCTTCTTTTTTACCTCGACAATCAGGTCATTGGGCCTGCAACACCACTGGGAATAGCAGAATGCCGTGAACCACTCGAACCGCTCCTTCAGCAATCCATTTCTCGGCTCTTTCCTTTCTAACGGCAGCCAGCCGCAGTATCGACGTCAGTACTACGAAAAATGACGTCATGAGACGCATCGAAATATATCAGATCATTTCTGCAAGCAATGGCAATCTTTGACATTTCTCTGTCGATGTGACAGTGGAATTGTAAATCATTTCGGTGTGATGGCTTCATTTTTGTAACAGTCAACGTCACCTTAACGTGTACAGTAGAGGATGAAAGATTAAGAGCAAGAGGAATAAATGGAAGAGGAGAAATTTTGATAGTTTGTTTATACAATATTTAGTAGTGACAGTCAAATAATGGATCATAAGAGGGTTGATAGGTTAATTTTTATAATATTCAACGTCTCATCAACATGTACAGTAGTGGATGAAAGATTAAGAGGAAGGGGAATAAATGGAAGAGAAGAAATTTGGATAGTTTGTTTATACAATATTTAGTAGTGACAGTCAAATAATGGATCATCAGAGGGTTGATGGTTTAATTTTTATAATATTCAAAATCACCTCAACGTGTACAATAGAGGATGAAAGATTAAGAGGCAGAGGAATAAATGGAAGAGAAGAAATTTCGCTCGTTTCTTCATATATTAGTAACAGTTGAATAATAAAAGACAAGAAAGAAAAGAAGAAATTTCTTTGAAAGTGGATTTATCTTGCTATTAATTGATTGATACTTTGTTTAAATATGTAATAAGAAAATTACATCTTGCTCCTGTCAGAGACTATCACTATTAACAAAATTCAAACCAATCATGCGAATATAATTTCTCAACTATCTTTTTTATATGATGCTTCTGTAAATGTCAACTCCACGCCAAAAGATTTCTTGGCCCATCAAAATGATAATTGACAATACGAATTAATTTGGTCACAGTAAATTTGAAAAAAGAATGACCTTCACAAGTTACATCAGTAAAATATTAAACGATATAATATAGACTATTAAAAAAAGAATCTCTGGTTGTAATTAAAACAAGAAAAATTCCTGAGCAATGTTAAATAGACTCGTTCATAATTATCATTTTTGTCATGATCTTTCTCGTGGTGGAATCCTCATATGACGTCCGCGCCAATGTGTTGCCATACCGTATCTGGTACTTGACAATTAGAAAGGCATTGTGGAAACGCGCTTTTGAAAGAGACTGGTCGATACTACGACTTAGAATCAGTGAAGGGAAAAGGAATTCGTTCTTATCATTCTCAAGGTAATGTCACGAGGTCAAGGTAAATGTAAATACATTCACCCTGAGAAAGTATTACTCCATTAGCCTCGTACTTTCTCGCTACAGAGTATTCGGGATATAATTAACAGTTATTACAAAACTGTCCACCTTCACGTGGAAGTTCTTCGTTTGTGATCAACTTCGTCTCGTTTAATTTTGTAAACTTTTAACCTTGGGGTACTTTTAATTTTCACTCGGAAGGCAGGGAAAATTAATTACATGAAATTAATATCGGCGTCAGTACAATTAGGGACCTATGTCTAATGAAACTCGTTTTTTTTTCATTAGTTCAATTGATTGGATAAATTTGTAGCTATAGTTTTGAATTATCGTGTAACAATTCCTTAACACAAACATATATTTAACAAGAGATTCTTGTTTCTTTATATGAGTTCTAATAAACAATTAAATTTCATATTTTACATTACATTAACATTACTTTTACATTACATTACTTTTACATTATTTAAAATCTGTTGCAGTTTTGGATCAATTATGTAGTTTATTCTGCATTTGCAATTTTCATGTTGATTTTTAGCATATATAACAAACTATAGGGATTGCTTTCTTAAAATTTATGAAGACAAAAATAGTCTTACTCATGCCTCCATTTAAGATTCGATCCTCTAGTTTGGGATCATCTTCAGAACTATAACTATTAAATCCATAAATAATAGTCATTGAATTATAAGCCAACAATTTTCAGTACAGAGAAGTCGAAATAATGAATAGGTAATCCTGGTCAATTATAAGTGTAATTAATTTTCATTACTGAAACTGATCTCAAACTGGAAAATCGAAACGTGAATGGGCGCTCGATACTTAATTTGAATCTTGACAGTTCTTGTCAAATAAACTTGTACTTCTTAAAATATCTTCGTGAGTAATGCTATTAATTATGACGGTGCTAATGAGAAGTCCAGAGACTTCATCTTCACGTGTGACGCAGGTAAAAGTGTCATTTTAAGGGAGAACACTGATCTCAATTATTTTCTACTGCCTCCGTGGTAATGGAATTTAGTCGTGACATCCTTTCAATTATATACAGTGAACATAATTTAACTATACGATAGTACAGGAAAATAATTTTCTTTTTTAATTATACTATAAAGAAGAGTCTTTTAATACAAGCTTTTGCTTTAGAGAAAATGGAATACCACTTGACTGATGTGTCTGACTATTTTCAGCTGTTACTACTTAACCATCGCGTCTGACCATTATTCGATGTTTCTACTTGGCGACGGTGCGCGTACATTTACATTATGGTTTGAAGGGAAAGATAATTATTGATAATTATTGCTTTAAGTATGTGGATTCTTTCGTAGCTAACGACTAATAACGTCATTGTTAGACGGTGTCGAAAAGCACCCTCTTACCTTATAGTGTCCGTTGTGGGCAATCTCTCCAGCTGTTTGCGGCACGTGCACACGTGTTCGTGTCAGGGCCGAATTAAGGCGTGGACTTTAATACCTTGACTGTCAAATTAAATGGTGAAAATTTCTCGGAGACTAAACTGTTGTCTGTACACGTGTTCGTGTCAGAGCTGAATTAAGGTGTGGACTTTAAAATCCTTGACTGTCAAATTAACTCGTGAAAATTCCTGGTGGGCTAATTTATTATAGAATTTATCCTTGTAATCTTGTCAAATTCACGAATACTATCGAGATTTATTTTTTTTTTGACACCTCACCTTCAGAATGAATTCTTCTTAGTACCTCAGTGAATAATTTCTTAGTGATTAGGGGCCTCCGTTTGTGGATAAGATTTTATTTCAATAAAAGATCACGAATAAAACCAACTTACAGTAGTTCAGTCGTAACGTTTAGTCCTCGTGAAATATTTCATTCACTTCACTTCACTGTATATTCAACGATAAACAATTGCTCAAAATTTTCATGTAGATTGAAATTTTCTCTAGATATGGGAAATTATGTTTGAAAAATGAAAAGATAGCCCCAAGATGTTGTATAATTGCAGACTTGTCTAATGTTTTCATATGTCTAATAAATGTTAAGCACAACATTTTACGAATTCAATACTTGGCCTTAAAAACGATACATTCTTGGTTAATTTATCTCAGAATTAAATTAATACTGTTTCTTAATTTAAAATTATTAATCTTGGCCCTCAATTTAGTTGCAGGTGTTAGGTTAAACTTTCAAATTGAATGTTTCAAAAGATTGCCTATATAAAAACGCCATTTTTCGGTTCACGTTTTGAAAGTATATTTCGGCTCACAAATACAATAACAAACGATGATTTTAATCAAAGAAATGATATTTGTAATGTAAAAATAATGATACAAGTTTTTCTTCTCTTAAAAATACGACCGATACGCATAATGACGGGTTTTGGAAAATGGTAGTTCAACCCTGACTTGTGTGCAGGTGCATGCAATTTGGGAGATGCGATTCGGGGGTGTGTCCGTGTTCGCGCGCGCGCGCTTATGCGTGCATATATGTATACCCTCTCGAAGAGCGGCCACTTGACGATGCACGAGCGCCACGAACACGTAGCATTCTATTCGCGGCACAATTTTCGAGGATCGATATATCGAGCGGCGTGTCCCGTCGGTCGACGACGATGTCTTCAAATAGCATGGTAGTTAACGTCTCTGAGAGTCGCCCTCAAGAACTGTGGCGAGAGCGAGAGGAGAGAGACTGCAAGATCCTTTCTTCTTCTTCTTTCGCTTCCTCTTCCTCGTCATCGGTGACGTTCACTTCCCCTCTTCCCTCCTCTTCTTGTCATCCTGCGGTAGTCTTCACTCGTTTTGTCTTGTTTAGGTATTGCGACGTTCGATGATTGCGCACCTATTGACACGAAGGACGCGAATCTCAAATGATGCGCGAGTCTCTAGGTCCGGTCTCGAGTTTCATCTGGATCATCTGGATCGGTTCATCTGGCACCGGGATCACTGTTACTATGTCGATTGGTACAGCGAGGAAGTTTGATACTTTGACACTTTATAGTTTATTGTTTATACTTTGTTGCTATATGATTTTATTTGTGAAGAGTAAAGTAATCGAGATTTATTTAATATATCGAAGAAATTTTGTTCAAACTGAATGATAATTTTGATGCTTTCAAATAAATGTTTCATTGCAAATATGTACATGAATAAAATTTACAGATGGATGTATTTATAATAAAATATTTATTAGGGAACATCAAATCTACCTTTTAATTTAGACGGATTTCTTTAATATAATCATAGAGGGTACGAATACTTATGGGGCTGGCTATATATTGCGTTAAAACGGTGAGCCTAGTTAACAAAAGTGTAAGGTTTATGTATTTATCCTCTGGTACTCAGATTTTTTCTCTGAAGGAACGTTGTATGTCCAGCTAACTTTGTTAGTGATTATACAGTAATTTTCAAAAATGTTTCCTTGAAGTTCTTTATTCAATTGGCACGAAGAAGAAAATAAGTAAATATGAGCTGGTGTTAGGTAGTAAAGAATTGTGTGAACAGAATAATATTTTGACTTATTCATAAACTATTTTATTCGAGAAAATATTGTCGGATAATATTAATAAAAATAGATAACTCTAATGAATGAAATCTTATTGGATATTTTTGCAACCACCAGGAGATAATGTCAATATGAAATTTTAAATAACTTTTTTCGTAAATTGATCCATTGAGAGACTATGAATATTACTATATGTTGCGTTATTAATACTCATATTTCATCGAGACATAGAAGTTTAAGTTAAGCCATGTTAAATACATAAATTAGTACTTCTCTCAACTAGACTCAATGGTTTATCGCAATATGAATCAGAGTTACAAAGTGACAAAGTAAAAATTGCGAAATATGTAAATAATACATTTACTCGTACAATTTCATTCGTATCAAGGTTTTCGAGTTTGTTGTTTAAAAAGACAATCGTTTTTCTAACTTTATTTTGTCTTTGTCCTTTTCTTCGTTTGAAAATGATGCTATACCACTTAGACACCATTCTAAATTTTTCCTTCTTATCACTCCATTTCATCTAACTCGTCGCATTAAATTAACAATTCCATCATCACGAATATTCCTAATCTCTAATTGAACGTTCTTTTTACAAGGAACGAAAATTATATCTGTCCTCGTCGAGGTGGCACTGTTCACTTTCCTCCCACTTCATATAACACTTGAATTTATTACCACCGATGTTCTCGAACAGAACTCTAATAAATGCAAATAAATTCTCCCTTGAGCAGTGACACTTTTCGTTCATTGTATTAAACCGAGTGATTAGCCGTGACAATCTAGTTTTACCGCATTTGCCTTGCTATCGTTGTGTTTCCTTAAAAGAGAAGACAGACAAATTAATTACTCAGGCTCTTCTCCCGAGGTTTAAGTTGTAGAACGATTTCGTTCTTCGCTACTCGTTACGCTAGCACCCCCGTTGAGGATTCTAACGAGTGAACACGGTTTCATAGCCACGGAACTCCGTTAATGAATCCCTAGCCATAAAAACAATTCAACTACCTCATCTGAGATTTTTAGATTGCATTTTCGTAACATAGAATAATATACAACTTGGCTAACTTTGTAAATAATGTGTGTGAAAGATAAAAGAAAGAATGGCGAGCGTATTGAGAATTAATTTGCACTGTTTTGCACCGTAAGGTTTTAGGTAAAATTAAGAAATTTATTTATCACAGACATCATTTTCGTTCCTTGTAAAAAGAACGTTCAATTAGATATCAGAAATATTCGTGATGATGGGATTGTTAATTTAATGCGACGAGTTAGATGAAATAGTGTGATAAGAAATTAAGATATTTATTAATTTTCTACGTTATAAGAACCCTTTGCGCTCGAGTGGCGCCCCTAGGGCGACATATGTAACTTAAAAGTGATTTTTTGAACGTATAATTTTAATTTTACTTATCAGAGTACAGCTAATTATTCATTGAAATAATTATACATTGAGTCATGAATGTTCGTAGATGATTTTTTTCGAAATAGAGTTTTTGGACTGGATTTGATTTTATAGAAAAATGCCTCGAGCGCAAAAGGCTAAAATCTAAGATCCAAGATTGAGTTGATTCAAAAGAAGTAATACTTTCTTGAGGTTGATTAAACTTTTTACAATTAGATTCGTATATTTAATTAACAGTTTAGTTAATAATTGTATAAATAGAAAACAAAATCCTAAAGCTTCTTTTGGAAAAGTCTTTAGCAACCCTTTAAAATAATTATAAACTTTCTCTACTTCTTCAATCGCCCATCGAAATAGGACCCAGGAGTTACTGCTCCGACACGATGTAATTCTCTTCAATACCACCCTTTAATAACCCTCCAGAATAATTACAAACTTCTTCCACTTCTTCAATCGTCCATCAAAATATGTCTCAAATTAATTCTTCCCAATACCACCCAAGACAACACTCAAACTAATACCAATTTATTAAAACGTTGGCTTCCAGGCTAAAACTCGTGAAAATTTCCGTAAGTTAAATATTTCGTCCCAAATTTGTTGAAGACTAGATAATTTAATATTTACCGTGGTATTTAACTTCGAGTGCCGAAGAGCGGCATCGCTGCTCGAAGCTGTGAGTGCTATAACTCATTAAACAATTAATTTTACTATAAAAAAATAACGTCAATATCTAATGCACATAGATTTATTTGTACAAATTTATTTTATATTAAACCTATAACGTTGACCCATGAAATTGACCGAAATATACATGTTTGCTTAAAATCATGCATGTTTGCTTAAAATTGCGTGACATTTCTCGAATATGTATGAAAATTTCCTCTGGCACTCAAGAGGTTAAATTTGTAACCTACCAAGTTCACAAATCCTATCCTTTATTTTTATCGTCGTCTCACTTTTGGAATTAATTTCTTTTATTCGTTCACTAAAAGGTAAGGTCGTCATCGATATCTGCCTGACACGGCGACCAACGTGTTAATCCTTTGCACTCGAGGCTTTCTGACTATTCTACTATCACGAATGCTAAGCTATCGAGATATCAGAATTAGATCACCTTTACCTCACCGACGATCATTTTATTGACACTCCCAGTTTCAAAGAAATTAAACCTAAAGAAACATTATTGCTGGTAGATTTGCTGCGTGAAACCTAATGGTGACTGAGAGTCACCTCTCGAGCGCAAAGGGTTAACCCGTAACACGTGTTCACCAGAATCTGAAAGCCAATCATCTCGCTCCAAACAATCCCTCGACGCAATCACATTCCCGTGCGTTCTCCAAAAAGAAACGAGAACGTCACATCCATCCGGCAACTTTCGCGGTTGGCGTCCGCGTTATTCTTCCCTTAGCATTCATCGTCGCAATTAGCGTTAGCGAGTGGGTTAGGAGCGCGCGATTACGGCATCCCAGAAGCCGACGATGCCCGCGGACATGCCGCATTGGGGTAAATTCGTGTCGTTGGCGGCATCGCGACGGCTACGAAACCCCAGAGGGATTACCACCACTTCTTTTGCCACGGCGGTCCTCCGCGATACTCTCGACCCTTTCCAAACCTGTCTTCGTGTACGTCACGAGCGTGAGTTACCCCTTCTTTACCCATTCTTCTTCCCTCTGTATCGAGTTAAGAGGAAGAAGCGGGGCGGCAGCGAGGTATATCGATGCCGGTCCACCACCACCGCTACCAACGAGCCACCTCCACCTCTGCCTCTCTACGGCCCGACGATGAGGATTCTGCAGCTTCGGCAAAGTCGTTTGAAGAAGTCAGTCGACGGTCGCACGTCCTCGCGAATCGGGGAATAACGGATCAGGGGGTGAAAGAAGGCTAAAGAAGCTGCCCCCCAACTCGTCATCCAAGGGCCGTTCTCCCGTTTCTTTCGTTTTATTTCTCTTCTATCCGCTCTTCTTCGCGAGCCACGTCGCCATCCAGCCGCGGTTCTTCCGTTTCTCCCGACTGGTAGTCGCGTTTCGGTTCCCTTCCGGTTTCTGGTACAAGGAAGATGCGCTGAGGAGGGACCGACGAAGGATGTCGATGGACGAGGCACATGGGGGCGGCATGGTCTCCGCAATCCTTTCCTCGGTTGTGCTTCTTCTTCTGCTCGGACGCGCCGCGGACGCCCAGTAAGAATCTCACGGTGGCTTACCTTTGCTTCTTTGCCACTCGCTGGCCGAGACGTCGGCCATCTTGCCGCGTACCGTCAGCGGATCCTCTTCCTTGGATTTATCGGTTCTCCTGTGTCGTGCTTTTCCACGGAAGGAACTCTTTTCTTTACATTTATTCCGTAGAGAAGTTTGTATGCATAAATATAAGGGAGGCGAGTGGGCAGACTCGCAGGAGTAATTTATTTAACTTTCGACTCAAGTGTTTTGTGAGCCATCTTTGAAATGGAGAGTATTTCATGAAAATGTAAAAATTGATAGCATAGCTGGGAGCTTGTGAGAATCGAGGCTTGCTTCATAATTATTGTTATGTTTTGACACTTGGTTTTTGGATCTTGAAAATTAACTTATTTTTTAAATTTATTCATTAGAGATGTTTGTATGCATAAATATAAGGAGGGCGAGTGGGCAAACTCGAAGGAGTAATTTTTTCGACTCAAGTTCGAGTAAAGTTTCGATTCAAGTGTTTTGTGAGTCATCTTTGAATTGGAGAGTATTAGATGAAAATGTAAAAATTGATAGCATAGATGGGAGCTTGTGAGGATCGAGGCTTGCTTTGTAATAACAGCCAGTTATTGTCATGTTTTAAGACTTGGTTTGAATCCTGAAAATTGCCATCGTGAATATTACTCGATTGAAATTTTAATTTATGAAGTTTGGTTACTTAAATATGTATAATACTATTTCCTCATGTAAAGGCTATAATAGTATACGATACATTGTTCTGAGAACTAAGTATATCATTGATAATTTCATATCAAGGAACAGGAAGAAATTTATTATAATTAATTTCTTGTGGAAATAGAGTTGTAAAATATGTTGTGTGCATAAATTGAATGAATCAATATTAAATATCATCTGCTTATATTCAGTAAGGTATTTCTATTTTAATAATTTCCAATTTATAATTATATTTATCATATGTATATTATAACGTTTATTTAATTACTATGTTATTTAACACATACAACTTGATATTCCAACCTATTTCCAACATGAATTATATTTTACAAATTATTTCATTCTAATAAATTCGGGTGAAAAATTCTTTGTTTGTTGATTGTGTGGAATATGAATTCATTAAAACGAAGACATCGAGACAACTTCTTCTCTTCGCTAGAAGCTCTTCAACCTCCATTTTAATTAAAATAGTCCTCGACACCTCAAAAAATAGCAACATAAATCAATTTCATCTTTCATTCACCATAGCAATCAAAAACTTACCTCGATACAATATTGAAAACAATTTCAACAATTACTTTCCATTCTACCAAAACCAAGTGTTGAAACATAAATACATACGCATAAAATGTACGAGTGCCTCAGTTTCCGAACTAACAAAACACAAAGTTGGACCACCCCAATATGATTTGTCAACAGTCTATTTTGAAATTCGGGGATATATTCGGTGCGCGGCTTTAGTGAAGTTTCCAAAGTGCAGTGCTGTGCTCGAAACCCTACGCTAATTAATAAACGGGCGTCCCATTCGAGATTTCTCGGGCGAAAGTAATAAGTTGCGTGAAACGAGGCACCGGTGGTAATGTGTCGCTCGTCTTGTTGAAAGAAAGCTCAACGAGGTGTAAGAAACGGACGCGATTGTGTGTCGAAAAGCGGTTCCGGGCTTTTGTGATTCGAATCGTGACTTTTTGCGTTACGTGATTCGTGCACGGTGTGTTCGGGAACAATGAAACGCGCAGCGAAACCTCGGTGTGTCGTTCTTCTTCCGCGAGAGAGACAAGTTAAAAACGAAAAAAACGACCAAGTGTGAAGCAGAATGTTCACCGAGGAACGACTTACGCGGAAAAAACTTGTTTATCTAATATTAAATTATAACTCATTTTATATTTTACTGTGCGATCATTTTTTAGACACGATTGAGATGTTTATTTAGGTTTTAAATTTTTGTTTTGTGATTGTCTTCAGAATCTATAAGATGAACTTGATGAATTAACGTAGGAGTTAGTTAATTAAAATGTATCGAATTATGTGCTGATTTAGTACGTCTCAGTTTATTAAATTATATGTAAATGTAATGTATCTAAATATATTGAATTACATGATCATTCATTATACATTAATGTGTTCAATTATACTAATTCAGAACATTTCAGTATATTAAATTATATTTTAATTCAGTGCATCTCGATATCCTAAATTATGAATTAATTTAGTAGATTGATTTATAACACTTATAGATTTGGAAGATAATTTTAAACCAAAGAATCAAACGTAAATGAATAGCAACTCGTGACAGTGTTGGTAGTGCAAAATTATCATCCTTTAATTAATATACATTCAAGCTTGTCTATGTATGTTATATATTTCATTATTTATTTTTGAGTTGATCAAGACCTGAAATATTTTAATGCAAAACCTTTGACGAACAGTAACTGTAAAATTGTTATTCATTATGCACTCCATAGATAATTCTACATAGAAAAATATCTAAATGAATAAATAATTATTGTCGAAGCTAATAGAAATGATTTTCAGTGCTTCACCAAGCAATAGTTAAAAAAAATGTTTGTAGACTGTTGGATCAGTTCGGAGTGAATCTTTAACTAAAATTCGTTTATAAATTTTTTGTTAACATAACCGATTTCATGTTAAAAATATCAAAGTACGAAAAAACTAAAGTAAACAAAATTGGGTTAATTATTTCTATTTTCGTCTTTGTAATTTCACCAAAAAATAATTAATACTCTATCAGTAATGTATTAATAGATTTTTAATACAATATCAATATGGGCAGTTAGGTTTTTCCTTCTTCAATACTTTGCAATCATCTTCGCAATCCAATAAATTTTACCAATAAATTTGTTTATTACTATGTGTAGGGGTTTAGTTAAAGTTTTTAAATACGTGAAGATTTAATAGACGTTTTCAAGCTGTTCCAACAATCGACATATGTTTCCTGCGATTAGTACGGCTATAATCTAACGGGTGACTTGTAATTTAAGGAGGAGCTTGGAGTTCTACGATCTTTTGCCGGAGGATCCGAAGCTTTACGATAAAATGCGGCCGCCCAAGAAAGATGGACAAGCTACTGTAGTCTATTTCCACGTCACCGTTATGGGACTCGACTCCATCGACGAAACTTCAATGGTACCGTGCAATATTAATAAACAAATTAGAGGAACATGATAATCTCAGTTTCAAACGTACTATTATTTATTTTATGCCTCCACTTTTTGTTATAGAGCCATTTTTAAAACCTCCAGTGTCTTTCAGCAAAAAGCTTTGATTTATTTTACTGTTCAACTCTTTGTTTTAGAATCATCTTCAAAAGAAGATTCTTTCAAGCAAGAAACTTTGATTTGAAACAAGAAATATTTATAACATTGAAGTGTAGATCGTGTTAAGTTAATTATGAAAGTACTAAACAAATAATCGACTAATGTCAAATTATTGATTCTCATGGTTCAACTTTCTAGACTTATGCAGCTGATATATTTTTCGCTCAAACCTGGAAAGATAACAGGCTACGACTACCAGAAAATATGACGTCTGAATATAGGTATGCAATTTTTGAAATACCATGATTTCTTTAATAGTTTTGTGAAAAATTGTGTTGGATCCATTATCTTCCATGACAGACTAAAATTTCGTCGAGTTTGCATTCAGTAATAATAATTCTGAAAATTATCATTAACGTATATGCATCTGATTAGAATCAGTATTTGTCTCTTTTATTATGCGATAATATATGTAGATTAAAAAAATAATGATTTTCTATGTCACTGTTGAAGTGAAGAAGAAATATTCTTTGATACCTCGAAGCTACTTGACTACTACCAGTATGAAATTTGACGTAAAACTACTTAAAGAATTAAAAATATTATAGTGACAAATTTTAGACATCTTTCAGAGCTACTCGGTTTATTAGCAGATACTAAACGCAATTAGAAGTATTGTATAAATTCGTAAAATAATTACCTTCATTTCACATTTCAAATTAATCATACTTTGATCATGAGAAATGGATACACGACGAGTTTCCATTGTGTCAATTTGTGTAATTTAAGATTACTAGAAGTGGACTGGTTGAAGAACATGTGGAGGCCGGATTCGTTCTTCAAGAATGCCAAGTCCGTGACGTTTCAGACGATGACCATTCCTAATCATTACTTATGGTTGTACAAAGACAAGACTATTCTATATATGGTCAAGTAAGAAGCGAAACGCTTTCTCAATTAACAAATGTGATTTACAATAGCACTAGTTTTTTTCTTTATTTTTCTTTGAATTTCGCTATTTAACGTATTCCTTTTATTTGAATATTTCTCGTCAAATTGTATTATTTTAAATAAATAAAACAATTAGCTTTACAACTCCTTGTTGCAATTCGGATGTTAAATGTATCGATCTTCACATTTGATCCTCTTCAGTTTTATTTTGGAAATCTATGCTAATTGTTTTGTTTATTAAACTTTTAGCGAAGCACGCAAACTTCACCATTAATTATATCTTACGTTCTGAATTATTTATATCCTTAATTGTTAGAACCTCTTCGCCATAAATGCAGACAGATTTATATTCCGTAATTTTATATAACAGAAAGTATCGTTGTTTCGTCGGTGTTTCAGATTAACTTTAAAACTTTCTTGCGCCATGAATTTCCTCATCTATCCTCACGACACGCAGGAGTGCAAGCTACAAATGGAAAGCTGTGAGTAACGTTTTTCTAACGAAATAAGAATTAATACTCGCGGTTTTGTAGGCACGAGAGATGGACAAACATTTAATCTAAATAAATTGTTGAAAGAAAAATAAACAACTGTTTACTCATTAGTTCATAACTAAAAATTATAATTTGAAGTACAGAATGAAATATATGTTCCTTCTATTGTCTGAAAGACATGTTATGATATTCAATTTTAATTCGCATACAAGTTGGTACCAAACAGGAAACATTAGAATCTAAATATGAATTCTATATAACAATTTAGTGGATTGAATGATTATTGAAGTGATGATGAGTTCTTCACAAGCGATTTTAGGATGTAGGACATTAATAAAATAGAAATAATATGGAATAATTAAACAAATTATTATATTGATTTTTAAAGAATTAACGTTGAAAAATGCCAGCGAGCAATATACGTATAACTATTCAAAATACTGAAACATATTTGAAATAAAAAGAAGAGCCAAAGAAATGTATCAATATAGAGAGTTCGATAAAGGCACTTACTTTGTAAAATCGATTACAATTGTTTTTCATAGTGTCATATATGCAAAATTAAAATGAATTCTGCTATGAGAATAGAAATATTTGTTTGTTTCTCAAGTATAGTGCAAATACTAGAAATCATTCATCCTGTGAATGTATTCAATTAATAACTTTCCTTCAATAATTTAAGTCTAATTTTCAAAGACGAATTTTTACGTCCTTCATAGTCGAAGGCTTAAAAAACAAAATTCCAAAGTCTGCTTTGAAAAACTCACTCACCATCTTTGAATTTTCCATAAAAAATTCCTGAAAAGCTCGAGCTTTTTATACAATCCACTACAATTCGACGAAAATTCCGTCCATCTCTGGTTCGATTGTCGCGCGGCAGGTTCGAATCGTTAGAGAACGATCTCTTAGCATCGCGCCCAGAATGCCGTGTGCGATTTGACAAGGACAAAACAACTCGGTCAACAGTGTCGCACACCACGGATGAAATGATCTTCCAGTGGGATCCTGACGTGCCACTCGTCGTCGACGAGAACATCGAGCTGCCGCAATTGCAACTGGTTAAGAATTACACGGCCGATTGCACGCAGGTCTATTCTACCGGTGAGTGACGCTCCCCTATTACCAACAGGCGTTTTATTCCGCGATACAAAAGCGCTCGTGAGCATTGTCTTCGACCTAATTAACGATTGAAAGCTGGTACCATCCGACGAATCGGTCGAGTGTTTCGTTTTTCACGTGAACGAAAGCTGCGCTGCAAAGACAAAGATGGTGCTTGACGTAGCTTCCCGTTTGTTCCATTTGTTTGTTTGTATGACGAAGTTTGAACGGGGATTCGTTGCTGGGAGAGTTGCGAAAGGGTGTTTGAGTTAGATTTGAGTTGGGTTTGAGTTAGGGTTTGGGTTGATTGGTACAACTGTCATTATACAAATTATAATTTCGATTTATTTAAAATGAAAACCATGAATCTTGATGGTTGATGTATCTTGGTGTTTGCTAGACTCTTGTATGCCATAATTTTGAACGGGGATTCGTTGCTAGGAGAGTTGTGAAAGGGTTTGAGTTAGATTGTTTGGATTTCATGCAGTAGAACTGTCGTTATACAAATTATGGTATACAGTAAAATTCTATTCGACTTATTTCAAATAAAAATTAAAATCATTCGTGGATCTTCTTGTATACAACTTATTAAAACGTTTTTAAGCTTGTAATTTCATTGCTGCTCGGTCAAGAAATAAAAATAAATTGTTGATTGCGTTGCTAGTATAGCAACATTAATATTTATCTCGCTTTCTTTCTAAAATTAACAATATGCAGCAAGAAGAAGTGTAAGAATTATTCTCCCTCAATTCAGTGTTTTTCATTTTGTTTGCATACACATTATTAAATTGTCTTAGAATAGTAAAAACTCCATACATCCTTTTCCTTTTCAAAAGGAAGGACGCAGCATTATATTTTATAATGTAACATATTCTCGTATATATAAAGAACTTATTACATCGAATAATCCTTCGTTGTACTTGTTTGCATTCTTGAATTTTGTTTTATGATAAATTCCAGCTCTCTATCTTCAATAAACAATGAAAGAATTATAGAAATTGCAATGTTTCAGCCGATATAAGGCTACTTTTTGTATTAATTTATTATTATTTCTCATTCTCCAATTCATATATATATATATATATATATATATATATATATATATATATCACTTTTCATGAAACATACAGTGATCAACATCGAAACAATCGGTTTCCTGTCATCTGAACATTTCCTTATGGGCATAACCGTGTTCTCCATACCAGTTCAAATACGAACTTCAATTTAATATATTCTTGTATTTAATATATCATACTAATACAATGTATTTTCTGTTTAGGTAATTTCACCTGCCTCGAGGTAATCTTCGTCCTGAAACGTAGGCTCGGCTACTACTTGTTTCACACTTACGTTCCTACTTGTCTGATCGTCATCATGTCGGTAAGCTTGCGAACATTAGTAAATGGTCTTTCGAAAAAAACTGCCTAACGAAACTGAACGAAATTTATTGCATCGTGCGTAGTGGGTGTCGTTCTGGATAAAACCGGAAGCCGCGCCAGCCAGAGTGACATTAGGCGTAACTTCATTGCTGACCCTTTCGACGCAACACGCGAAGAGTCAGGCGTCTCTGCCTCCTGTTTCGTATCTAAAGGCCGTGGACGCGTTCATGTCCGTGTGCACGATTTTCGTGTTCATGGCTCTGATGGAGTATTGCCTGGTGAACATCGTCCTCGGCGATTCGGACGCGCCGGCCGCGAAACCGACGCCTCCGCCGCCGCCGCCGTCTTCGAGTGGCACGGACACGGCGAAGCTCGACAAAATATTCGACATCGCCACTAAGGTAACGCTTGGGTGAAGATTCGAGCATGTCAGACAGCTTCTGTGCCTCGGGGTAAAGAGAGTGACGGTGATCGAGAAGCGACATTGTTTGGGATAGAGGATTTTTCAAAAAAGCCTTTGGAATGTTGATTTTTAATTAAATATAAATTGGATGGGAATATATACGATTTTTTGTTTGTTTGAAATGGATGTAGATGATTGCAAGTAAGCGTCAAATGTGGTGTCGTTTAGGTATCGTGAAGACACTTTTGGAAAACCTTTTAGTAATCCCTGAATAATTAATACGATTCGTGGAAAATTATTGAAAGTTAATGCTTTAATATTTAATTTAAAACACGTTTTGATCATTAGGATTTATGATCCTCTTTAGTATTTGTTATTTGTTTGTTATTGTTAGACTGCAGAATTCCCTTGATATAACGCCAGTAATCGGGTCTATTGACGTTGTTATATCGAGGAAGAGTAACAATTTTATTTTAATCTAAGCCAGGTGGTTCGAACAGTGATGAAAATTAAAGTTTTTTTTGAAATATCCTTTTCATGATAGCCTGGCGAGAGTATTTTCGTCGGAATGCAGATGTTCATGCGTTTATAGTAACTGGAAATATGGAAAAATATAGAAGGATGTGCATAAATCCAAAAATATATAAAATATCAATAATAAGAGATTATCCTTGATCTCTACATGTCTGACTTTAGGGTTATTATAAAAATTAATACATATATGATTATTTATATACATATTTACATCAGGCAGGTCCTGATTGCCTTGTTTATTGCTGCTTCATTGCATTACAGTAATGAACAAATTGTAAGCACTGAAAAGGATTATAAATCATAGTGGTCAACGTCTCTTAAACTAAATTGATAAAGGTTACAAACAACATCTTAGTTTTATAAATAGAAAGGAACGTGAATGCTCGTGGCGACCCAATAGTTCGAAGATCGATGCACCACGCGAACCTCTGTCCCACGCATTGATGTCTCCACAGAGTACTCTTGCAGAGGTGAAATTTGTCACTTTAGAGAAAAACTTTCTGTATGTTTTTTGTACGGTTCCGTGAGATATACAACGAAAACAAGTTTGAATCCAAAATGTTCATTATTACGAGAGCTGTAGGTGTCTAAAGATTCGGCAACTTTTTATGTACCTGTTTGACAAAAAGTACTGAAAAATAGATTCTTCGGATAGTTTAATATATTTTTTTAAATTCTCCACCTAATTACATGTAGTTTCCTGTTTTGATCATTGAAATCGGTTTATCCAATCAAGAGTTATGATTTTTTCAAATTTTAGTCATGAATTATGACCAAAGTCCGACACAGGATACGTATCTATACTGCACAATAACTCGAATGTGGTAACAGGTAGAACGAAATCGGTTAGACAAAAGTTGTACAGTATGAAAGCGTCCACAAAACTGTGAACACAATTTTTAAGCAGTGGGTGATGGAAAGATTTATGGTGGGTGGAATAATCAATTTTATTTTAAATTCTTAGTACAGTGTCATAGAATATTAAAAATTATTAAATTTAATATTTAAAATTTGTTCAATATCTCTTATAGTTACAGAGATATTAACAAAAGTATAAATATCCTGGTTCCACCTCTTGAAATCACTCGTGGGCAAGGAATGACAAAGGGCACTGTGATTAGGTTCCCATGAATTTTATTTCTACAACAATTTTACAAAGTTTTCTGAGCGTATCAATTACCAAAATTTCCTTGTGAAACTCACCTCTCGAGTGCGAAGAATTAATTTGCTTAGAATTGATTTTAATTGAGAAATATAGTCAGTATAAGAAGTACTTGTACAGCAACCAATTTAAAATAAAATTAATAAGAAAAGAAATAAGAGGCTAATATTAAAAGTTAATTTATAACTTCAATTTACGCAAATTCTACTCTAAAAATATGTAGGAGTGTTGATTAATTATTTCTTCCCCTAAAGTTAAATTAATCAAATAAATACATAAAGCTTTATTTTGTATTAGTTCCTGTACGAATACTTATTACCAGACTGCGGATCTTTATGCATTTATCGGAAATTTGAATGGGTAATAAACTAGAAAATGCAAACAATATCCAAGAATATAAAACAGATTGATAACAAAGTTCATGTTACAATATTTGCAGAATAAAATAAATTCCTATTTAGATTCAATTTTTGTAGGCACATTCACGAAGATTTTAGTTTGCATAAAGATCCGCAGTTTACTTATTTCACTACATGAGCATAGACATGAATGGTTTCGAAACGAGTTTCGCCTCTGTAAAAACTTCTCGATGACGTCTCCGAAGTCCCCGAGGCGCAGAAGCGATGTCTGCCCAGCGACGGTTCAAGTTGTGATCGTTGTCACGCAGGAAAACGCAATGTTGTTGTCCGGTCGATCGCAGAAATCGCCAGCAGATCCACCGCCAGGCCCGACACCCGCCCAAAAGGCTCGAATGCGTGCCTTGAACATCGATCGAGTCTCGCGGGTCTTCTTCCCTTTCCTATTCGCCCTATTAAACGTAACTTATTGGATAATGTTTGCCGAGTACATTTAAGGAACCGTGGAAACAGATCTCTTCCATCTCTTTCTCCCAGGAAGAAAGAAAGAACAAGAAGAAGGAACAAGAATGGAACATAGGAGAGACGTACCGACGCCATTTTCGACAGATCGTTCTCTGTATCGTCCGTATCGGGATTTGGACGGAAATAAGATGATGTCTTTTACGAGGAAAGCACCCTATCTGTCTTCGTTCAACTTTAAGGTAGTTGTTTCGAGATAGTCACGTTCAAAAGTATAATTGAAAACTTTTGTAAAATACAGTCTTACTGCTACACGTCCATAAGAAATCAATACGTACATAGTATACGCATACGTTCGTAATACTCGGGATATGATTGGGGCAGCAATGCTGATTGTTAATGTTACTGCGCAACTTCTCCATGTTCAGTTTCAAAATTTAATGAATTACACCTCGGCAGAGATGGGCAAAACCCTAAGCTTCGAATAAATTTGAAGTTTGCCGATATGTTTGTTTCGTTTCCTCTTTTGGACATTTTTCAAAGAAGGAAACGAGACAAATATATCGGCAAACTTCAAATTTATTCGAAGACTAGGGTTTTGCCTATCTCTGCATCTCGGTAACGATGCGGTCAATAATTGGTATTTTTCTTTTAAATGGTTTATAATTTCGGTTCTTTGTAACATATCAAATTTTCAGCAAGTTCCTAAATTGCATTTTGATTTGAATTGAATAAATTCACGTGGAAATCTGTGTGTTCCATAAGGGTCTGTTTTAAAATAACAAAATTTTGATATCAGTTTTTATAAAAGTAGGGTGATCAATTTAAATCGAAATAGATTCATGTGATTCATATTTGATCAGATAACAAGCGAGCGAAGTTTTGTTAAAATCCTACATTAAATATATTCATGGAACAACTATCTTAAGGAAGGAAACCACGTTAGGAGGACAAATAAGATTGTTTTTCCGGCTGTCGTAACTCGTGGAACGTAGGAAACAAAGACTACGAGCACAGGTTCCAACACTAAACCTACCGTTTTTCATTTTTTGGGTACAATTACGTACAATATAAAAATTGTATACAACTTAAAATTAATTAAATTTAGATATATACAATATAAACATTGTGTACAATTGTTTCATGTGTTATTGAATTTAGTATCACGTGAAATATTTTCCCATGCAATTGAAAAAAGTGTCTTCAAGATCAGTCATTTTATTGCTCATTGCAGATATAGATACAAATAAATTTCGGTAGGTTTAGTGTTAAATAAATTATAAATTTATCAGATCGCAAATTTAAAAATGAAGAAAATACTTGATGCGACACGATGACGAAGTCAATTAGTCGTGTTCTTCTAATTTTGATTGATCCTCTTGTTTCCAAGTGAGAAAGGGAACGAAACGAAAAGACGCGCAGAGAGCAATCAATTCTGATTAATGTAGCCGAATGAATAATCAAAGATGTGCGACTGTATCAGAAGTTCGTGTCACTGATCGTGTAATTAATCCAAGCGCAGAAATATTCCGAAATGTCGTCACACACTCGAGCTAATAAGATTCAACATCGAACTTCCGAGAACGCGGAAAGAAAATACTTTTCTGCGTACGAAAGTCTCCGTAACATCCAAATAATACGTCAAACGGAAATGGACGAGAAAACGCGCTTGACGCGCGCTTTGAAGCAAAATAGTAATAAAAAAGAAAACACTATATATAAACGTGTCACGTATACGTGACGCTATTAATTAAGTTTGTTACGACTTGAAATTCTAAACCTGCAGATTTTTGTAGCGACGATTTCGAGCATGAACGTGAAATTTTATTGAATTGTTAATCGTTATCGAAAAAGAGTGACTACGCGTAAAGTAGTCTCGCCTAAAAAAAAACATGTAAAAAAAAATAAAAATAAAATATGAGACGGTGTATCGAAAGAGCACAGAAAAATGTAGCGAATATATCGAAGAAACTCTAAGCAATGGCCTCGAACGAAAGGATTCGAGATCCGAGTGCTTTCGGATAATTCTGTTGTGCGTCGAGTGAGAGGCCACGTGTACAGCTAATAGCAACAATAGCCACGTTTCGTTTAGAGAACTAATAGCGAAGACTACGTGTTATTTGTTCTCTTCTTTTCTTCCCTCCGCCGAGGGTGTCCACGTTCGTTTCTAAACTAATTCGTTTTTATGCTCTAATGAAACATTTTGTAAATTCTATCTGCTGTTCTAATTGAATCTTAAGGGTAAACAATTATGCGCACTACTGGTCACATACGTGGAAATGATTTCGTGTATTGAATTTATTTGTTGTTGCCTTAAACAAGTGCATTTCATCGCTACTGCTTTTTGGGGGGATCTTTTGCAGGAATAGAATTGACATAAACATAGATAAATTATTCGTTAAATAATTTTAATCAATTTCATTTACATGACTACATTTACATGATTGAAATTAAATGATTAAAATTAGCAATATTATGATTCATACTTTTATGTTTTATTACTGATTCTCGAAACATGTAAGAATTTACTCCACTTTAATATTGCAAATATTTTATTTTCTAAAAATTCTGAATTTTGTTCCAGTGACTTAATTCAAATATCCTTCAAGATATCCTTCATTATCTCTTACAAAATGTTTATCAATGAAAATTTCTAGTTATTTTTTCAGTTAAATAACGAGTTATTTATCTTGATCTTGTTTACATTAGTCTCGAATTTATTACTAAATATAAATGTCTATAATAATTACTCATCCATTCAAAATGCCAAAAAATGTTTAATAACCAAAAAGAAAAACAAATGAACATTCTATGAATTTTCTTTAAATAAATACTTTATTCATCCATTTTAGTCTTACAAAGGAATTTGTAAAAGTTTGGTGAAAATGAAAAGCATCGTTAGCTGTTAATTACTCATTAAAAATTAAATATTGATAAACAGTAATGGATTTTCGGCTTTCCGATAGATTGGTAATCATCGGTGAATTTTACAACGCACCCACACGACATTTGAAAGAATTTCGATGACATTTGGCCAAGTTACACATCGAAGTTTTTAATATTTATTTCTGAAGAACGTTGAAGTTTTTAATTTTTATTTCTGAAACTAAACGTCGGTTGAATAAATTGTAAATATAAAAAAGGAATATTACAAAAGAATTTGTAAAAGTTTGATATCACATCAGAAATGAACAATTAATCTTTATTTCCCACATGTACACCAGTAATGCGTGTAATTTCGAGCCATCTTTTCGCAGTTATATTTTGGAATATAGCAAACAGAGCGGTACGATCACCATTTTACTGTAAGTAATCACACCTACGAGTAATTGCCATTACTCTGCATGTAGAATAATCTTTTAATGCGTCATCGTTACATTATCCAGCTTTGCCTTTCGTTTGGGAGCGAACAAGAGCCAATACTAAAAAAAAAAACGAGAAGAGATGCATCTAAATTTTAGGAAATCGAAGGATACAACACCGGCACACCACGTGGTACAATAAAATGTTAATAGAAAGATTGCTTAGAGTAACGTAGACTCGTAATGGTGATTGCTTCGATGAAGACACTCGCTGAACTATAGTTCAAAGGAGACACTATAATTGCCATTTGTCTGCGCGTAGAATGGCACTTTAACGATCCTTTCACGGCACTCTTAAATTGTTCAGCTTTATCTTTTTTCTCTATCTTAACCGATAAAACAAAGAGCTGAGAGTGAGCAATCGAGGAATTCATCCATTGATTGGAATACTTTAATATCCTTGGAAATATTGAAAATTCTGAGCGATGAATAACAGATTTTCGTGGTCCACTATATGGATTTCTTTAATTCACAAACGACTAAAAGTTTCTGACAAGATTAACACGTTGACATGTTAATGGGAAATATAGTTTTATTTCATAATTCAAATTGTATTTTTCATTGAACACATTTTCATTGAATTTTCAGAGCCAAAGCTAATTACATTGAGAAGCTCTTTTCTGAAATGTTTCATTAAATGAAAATGTTATTATTATGCAAATGGATTGGTTCATCTAATATTCTGAATATGAAATGTTCAAAGATATATGAATTGCAAAAAGAGAAACAGTGTGAGAAAAATTAGGAATAATTCCCAATAAAAAAGCCTGTGTGCTTTAAAAATTTCTGACAAAATTAAGAATTTAGTTATACAAACCACAATCTTTTTCAAGAACGATAGGAACGTAGAACGATGTTGAGTAAATTAAGAAAATTGTTTCAAACAAGGAGCTCTTCAGAGCTGAAGCTAAAGCTGCTTTCATTACGATTTTAGTTTGAATTTTTATCACGATTTTCTCCATTTCTGCTTCTAATGATTGGTGAACTTTCGTTGTCGTAAAATAAATTGGCTGCTCAAGGTCATTGCAGGGCTGCCGCCACCACTACATCTTCTTTATTTAAGAGGGCATTTCACTGTGAACGCACAAAAAAAGCATATTTTCAATCATTTTTTTCTCAGGAACTATTGCATAAAATTGAATGAGTGTTTTTTCCCCTTAAAGGTATGATTAAGGAAAGTAAATAAAAAGTTTTTGTTTGGTAAAATACATTCCGTCATTTATTTACAAAATAATATGCATGTCTGCAAAAAAAAAATTATCCGCTGGCGCAGGTAATTTTGGCTCTCCTGGTAATCTGAAATAGAAAATCGAAAAAGTTTATTGAACTATGTCGTCACACCTATCGTCGGAACCTCCAAGTAGTTGATATTTTGATTTTTACTTACAATTTCACCTGATTTACGGTACAAAAAAAGTATTTTTTTTCTCTCTTTTACAAGAAACGCTGCCATTTTGTTTATTTTCGATGAAATAAATAAGTGGAGGTTCCGACCATAAGTGTGACGACATAGTTTAATAAACTTTTTCGATTTTCTGTTTCAGATTACCAGGAGAGCCAAAATCACCTGCGTCAGCGGATAACTTTTTTTTTGCACACATGCATATTATTTTGTAAATAAATGACGAAATATTTTTCACCAAAAAAAATTTTTTTGTTTACTTTCCTTAATCATAACTTTAAGGGGAAAAAACATTCATTCAATTTTTGTGTAATAGTTCCTGAGAAAAAAAATGATTGAAAATATGCTTTTTTTGTGCGTTCACAAAGAGTTATTCTTCAAACAAGTATTGTTGAAGGCTTAGTACAACAAATCACAAAGTCGTAATTAGTAGTGGAGGTGTTGACTTTGCCAAGCCAATTTCAAATTGTGTTCCGATTAGTTTGCTAATTCTGCGCCTTTCGAGTGAGGATAACACGAAAGTTACTTTGTAAAGTAAAATTCTGTGGTAGAATGCGTTTACCTGTATGATAATTTACGAGTAATTGTATTCGTAATTAATATCGTTGCTTCGAAACAGGGTGTTCAATACGACGATCGTATTTTTCCTAACACAACATTTACCATCGTGGTTGCATTACTAAACGATCGATTGCGTCACTTTTAAATAACGATTGAAAACGTCAACATTATTGCTTTCGAATTTTAAGTAAAATAAAATTCTAGTCAAAACCGAGGAAATCTATTATAGAACGTAGACCCATTTAATCCACGCATAAATCAGCCGTCGCTAATTTTAAAAATTACAACTAATTAATAAATACACGCGCATTAAAATGAAATTATCGAAGCGATTTAATTGAAAATAAAGGAAGAATTGTAAGATTAATTAGCGAATGTAAAAGGTTACATTATCGTCGGTTCTCTGTTAGAAGAAATCATTTTCAAGCACAACATTGTACATTACATTGTATTTAATAACAAAAAAAAAAAAAAACTCCATCGACTACATATTAAATTGATGATAATTGTAATTGCGTGTTTATTGGATTTATTCGTTTTGGTGCATATTCACCTTCTTTATCTGTGTTTTTACAAACAAAGTTATCATTGCTACATTTTGTTCTTAGTCTTTAGATGTATGGAATTGATTCTTTATTTTAAATAAAGCCGCCAATTCTGTGAAAAACGCATGTATCGCCATCTACCCACGAAATGTCCAAGTTTATAGAAAGATAGTTATCAATTTTCACTACTAGATGCCACAACAAGTTTCTTTTTCGACATCGTTAAAAAAAATACGTCAAAAGTTAGTTTTATTGTTGTATTCAGCTATAAATATACTTATAGTGTAATTCCAAGTTCGTAATTAATAAAAATAAAATGTATTACGCAAATATATTGCAGTGTCGATAATCAAAACATAGTGGCGTTATCTAGCGTTTGAAAATAAAACTATTTCACTACAAGCTTAACCGTTTCGCCACCGATGGCGCTAATGGTAGATTGTAAAATTAGTGCTAGCTGTTTATTGCTAGATGGCTATCGTCTTGAGCCAAAAACATTTAATTTTAAACTATCAAGTAGAATTTTACAATAGTTTGCATATTCTTGCATAATTAATTTGTGTTAAATGTTGGAAATTGTAATTGCCAAAGAGTGAAACTTGTTTAACTTCTATTGAACTATATCTATTTTCAGAGCCTTGTGCCTTGCCATTTCGGCCCTGTTATGAATCATAGTGTTTACTAGAGATACAAGGTACTCTAGATAGTAGTTCATTGAGTTCATTCTAGTTTTCCGTTCATTCGAGTTCATTTTGTTGAATGATAATAATGTGATACATTGTCAGAGTTGTCAGATTCGACTCGTGGATTCCAGTCCAGTGTCGATCATTGCCATCTCTGTATATTGCATATCAAATCTTTGGCCAAAAACTGGAGTAAATTCGCATATGATTATACGAATAAAGTTATATTACCTTTTGCATTACTTCGTCGTTATTTTTATACAACAATGCGCAATATTGAGATAAAAGCAAAAATCGACGATCCAGAGCTTATAATTTCTCGAACAAAGGAATTAACTGATGCTGAGTGCATTATTATTAAACAACATGACACATTTTTTAAAGCAAAAGATGGAAGATTAAAATTACGACTGTTTGAAGTAAAAGTTTTTTTAATTTTAAATTATTATATTATTATTCATTTCTTTCAATTCTATGCACTGTAGTGATGTTTTATTCACAAAATAATAAGCTAGATTTGTTGAAAAAATCGTGCCACTTGCACATTATAAATTCTGTTATAAAAAAGGGTTGCTAAGTAATAGGAGCTAATTTTCTATTTTATTAGAATGCAGCAGTTTAGTAATAATTATTAAATTTAATCAAGCCGCAAATACTCCTTA